AGACGAGGTGGCTCCACAAAAATTCCCAAGCTTATTGATGGGGGAGCCTAGCACATCAGTGAAAATGTTGAGCCAGAAGTACCAAGTGGATGATCCACCTCGGCTTCCATTCGAAGTCCGCAGCATCAGAGCTGCCAGACTTCAGCCAATTTATTTCACTGCATATGATATCACGAAATGACTGAAGGCACTGGATACTGCAAAGGCTTAGGGTCTTTCAACACTCTGGTAACAATACTGAGGAAGTGTGCTCTAAAACTTGGCATCAAGGCTACATTTGACCAAATATTGCCTCAAGGACTTGCAGAAAACTAGAGTCAATTCAAGAATCAGGGGAACACTCTCCAATGGGTGCAATCATACCTAGTACAAAGGAAGATAGTTGTGATTGTTGGAGATCCATCACCTCAGCTCCAGGACATCTCTGTAGTTCCACAAGCTTGCATCCTCCAATCAACCAGTTTAACTGCTTCATCAATGATCTTCCCACCATAAGGTCAGAAGTAGGGATGTTCACTGATGATTGCTCAATGTTTAGCACCATTCACAATTCTTCAGGTACTGAAGCTGTCCATGTTCATGTGCTAGCTTGGACAACATCCAGACTTGGGTTGACAAAGCCACACAAATACCAGGCAATAGCCATCTTCAACAAGTGAGAATCTTACCATTGATCCTTCAGGTTCAACGTCATTAATTCCAACAACAAAAATTCACTAAACAGAAACAGAACTGGACAACCTGCAAAAGCAGGTCACAGGCTCAAATCCTGTGAAAAACTCACCATGTGACTTCCTAAAACTTGTCAACCATCTAGAAGGCACAAGTCAGAAGTATGATGGCATGTTCCCCACCCCCCTGGATGACTGCATTCCAACAGCCTCAAGAAGCTTGACACCATCCAGGACAAAGCTTAATTGACAGCACACCAAAAATGTTTATTCCCTCCACCACTGTCACACAGGAGCAGCAATGTCTATGAGATGCACTGCAGAAATTCACTTAGGCTCCATACATAGTACCTTCCAAAATCACAACTACTGCCATTGAAAAGGGCAAGGGCAGCAGATATATGGGTACATCATCATCTGCAAACTCCTCTCCAAGTCATTCACCATCTTGACATAGAGATATACATCATTCCTCAGTGTCACCCAGCCAAAGACCTAGAATTCCCTCTCTAACAGTTTAGTGGGTGGCCCTACACCAAATGGATTGCAGTGGTTCAAAAAGACAGTGCACCACCACCTTCTCAAAAGCAACTAGGAATGGACAAAATAAAAATCACCCAGCCATCAACATCCGCATTACCTGAATGTGTTTAAAGATAAAAGAAAGTTCCAAACCTTCCTTCACATGTTCCATCTCAAGGGATCAACAATCAACCAATGCCAGCCCACCTCCTTCCCCAGGTTCCTTGACAATTCATCACACACTGGAAACTGATTATTCCATTCTCCCAGCTTCTGAATCTCCACTGCATCTGTTTTGAGAACACAGCCTTCAATGCTTCCAATGCATCTTTCCTTTTTCTCAAAAGGAGATAGCTCGCTATTGGATCAGATAGAATTTAGAATGAAGAGTAGACATTCACCCCTTAAAGCTTCCTCTACCTGCACTGACAGGGCCCTCAACTGTGATGATCCAATTTCTAATATCTCTTACTCCTAGAATCATTTTGGGATTATTTATGTCCTCACCTTCCAGCTCACCAGTCACCATGTTTAATTAACCATCCTGTCCCATTTCAACAATCATATACCTCTTTCCCTCTGCTTTCTTTCCAAAATTCCAAACAGACAGTTCTCTCCAAATTCTGATCAATTTTTCCAATGACCACACACTGCCCCCAACTTCCAAAATAGACTTCTCACTGCACCTTCACAAGTAAATGCAGGAAATGCAACCAAAACATATCGTGCTACAGAAATTCAGCAGGTCTGAAAGCTGAAGAGGAGTCATATTTGACTCAAAACATTAACTCTATTTTTCTTTCCACAGATGTTTCCAGAGTTGAGTTTCTCCAGCACTTTGTTTTTTTTCAGATGTCCAGCATCCACATATTTTGCTTTTAATTGAGCAGGAAATACAAGACCTGTCCCTTTTTACTTCCTTCCTTCTCAGTATCCAAGCCCAAATATGCCATCCAGATGAAAAAAGGTGTGGCTAAGGATAGCCTTAGTTATGCCTGTTCCTTTGTTGGGTACATGGAACATTCCTTGTTGCAGTCAGACTTGGGTCCCACCCACAACTCTTTCTCTGCACACTGATGACATCATCAATGCTGCTTTCCCCTCTCGTCAATTTCAATTCCACCCTACTTTCATCTTCATCTGGTTCATCTCCATCTCCTCCCTTCTCTTCCTTGACATCTGTTTCCATTTCTGGGGATGGACTGCCCACCAATATCAACGCCAAATCCAACGACTGAGTTACCTGGGCTATACATCCTCACACCCCGCTTCTTTTAAAGACTCCATTCCATTCATCCAGTTTCTCCATCATCAATATATCTGTTCCAATGATGCCAGCTTCTACAAAAGGGGCCTCCAAAATGTCCATCTCCTTCGTCAACCAAGAATTCCCCACCACCAGTGATTGACAGAGCCCTAAGCCATGTCAGACCCATTTCCCACACTTTGACTCTCACCCCTTCTCTTCCTTCCCACAATAGCAATAGGGTCCCTAGTTCTCACTTACCACCCCACCAGCATCCACATGCAACAGATCATTCACCACCATTCCTCAACCTCTCGCACATTCCTCTCTCTCCCTTGTCAGCATCCCACAGGGACCATTCCCTCTAGGACACTTCTCCTCCACTCCTAACACTTACCCTTGCAATGCAGAAGGTTTAACACCTGCCCATTTACTTCCTCCCTCCTCACTACCCAAGGCCCCAGACACACATTCCAGGTGAAACAACAATTTACCTGCACTTGGGTAGCACAACAGCACAGTGGTTAGGTCTACTGCCTCACAGTGCTAGGGACCTGGGTTTGATTCCAAACTTGGGTATCTGTGTAGTGTTTATACGTTCTCCCTGTGTCTGTGGGGGTTTCGGCCAAGTGCCTGGTTTCCTCCCACAGTCCAAAGATGTGTAGCTTAGGTGGACTGGTCATGCTGAATTGCTGTGTAGTGTCCGGGGATGTGTAGGCTAGGTTGATTACCCATGGTTATTGAGGCATTAAGGGATAGGGTAACGAGATATATCCGAGTAGATGCTCTTCGGAAGGTTGCTGCAGTCTTGATGGGCCGATTGGCCTACATCTGCACTAAAGGGATTATATGATTGTACAATTTAATCCAGTCTACTGTATTTGCTCTTCACAATGTGGTCTGTTCTACAGTGGATACTGCCTGACTGCCTTGCAAAGCACCTACATTCTGTCTGAAAAAAATGACCCTGAGCTTCCTGTTGCCTGCTACTACAACACACCACTTTGTTCCCTGGCCAACATCTGTCTCAGGTTTGCTGTAGTGTTCCAGCAAAGCTTAGTGCAAGCTGAAAGAACACCATCTCATTTTCCACTTGGGGATCCTGCAGCCTTCGGGACTTGATATCAAGGTCAATAATTTGAGTGCTTGAGCGCCTTCTCCCATTTCCTTACACCAACCGCGCACACCAGGCCTTGTTGTCACAGGGGCTACTACCACAACCAACCCTCAACAGTCCCCTCATTAGCAGCTATTCATTCTCCCAGACTGACCTAACCCATCCCTTTGTCTGCCCACCTGTTATTCTCTCTCTATGGGTTCCGTCTCCCCCCTATTGTTTACTCCTCCCCCATCTTAAGTGCATATACCAATGTTTTCCCAGCTACAATCAGTTCTGAACAAGTGTCACTGGACTCAAGCCATCAACTCTGCTTTCTCTCCACAGATGTTGCCAGACCTTCTAAGTTTTTCCAGCAATTTCTGTTTTTGTTTCAGATTTCCAACATCTGCAGTTCTTGGGATCTTTTGTTCAAAGAATGGTTCCCTTGTACTTCTTCCAGCATAGTACATTTGCTACTCATGACAGAGCCTTCTACAACGTAGGCCTAACAAGACTGGGTGACCTGATGAAGGTTTCGGCCCGAAATGTTAACTTTCCTGCTCCTCAGGTGCTGTTTGACTGACTGTGCTTTTCCAGCTCCGCATTTATTGACTCTAGCTTCTAGCATTTGCAGTCCTTTCTCTGTCCAAGACTGGGTGACCACTTGGCAGAAAAAACTAATTAATTTTACAAACCAGCTTCTTGTCACCTGACATATCAATTCTCTTATCCCATGCCAGTCTACCCCTTCTGCTTGATACCAGCATCCCCTTAGATATTTAATCCCTCCTGATTTTAGCGTTGTCAAAGACATCCCCTTTTGTTTTTCCCTCTGTACTGGCTTAAAATCTGTCAGATGTCTAACTTTTTTCATTTCTGTGTTTTTCATTTCTGATGAATCATCTCAACCTAGAACATTAAATCAATTTCTCTCCACAAATGCTGTCTGACCTGTTGTGTATTCCCAGCATTTTCTGTTTCTGTTTAAACTGTTTATTTTGTTTAGATTAACTCATGCACCTCAGTAACATTTGTTAGATGAACTACTTGCAAAGTAACTGAGCGTTTGCCTACAAAAACAGGAGACTAAACCTGAAATGACACAAAACATTTTGGGAGATCTTGGTCATGAGGGTCAATACATACACAGTACAACTCAAACTCATTTACACTGTCTCGAAAATCCAGACCATCAAATTCCTTATTAAAGGGAATGTTATCAGGGCCCAACTGGTTTCCCACCAAGACATTTGACTCTTCCATGCAGACTCATGAGAATGAGGTTCTATTTAGGTTAACTACTATGTAACAAAGATGGCCTGTGCTTTATGTTCAGTGAAAACAAAATTGTAGCTTTTCTGTGAGATAACTGAACAGCAGTGAAAGATAAAGAAATGCAACTGAAGATCTTACTGCAGATAAACTACAGTTACTTTCTCAAAAATAAGTCTGTGTACAGTACCTCTCATGCAGACTTGCTGAGATGAGATCCCCTCTGAGCACAGAGTTGTCCATGTTCTCACCACCAGCACCTCCACTGTTAAAAGTATAAAGAAAAAAAGTTTTAAATTGGAGCTCCAGTTACTCTTCAAAAATATGGCTAAAACAAACAAAATTCATCTTTAGTGGCACTGGGTCTACACGATTATAAAAATCAAAAACAGACCATTGTTTTGTTAGCAATTCTGGGTTTATGATTCCATATGTCAGCAATAATGCGATTGTTTTGTTGGAATTCAGAGTTAGAATCAAAATCCACTTATGTGGAAATGCACAGAAGTACATAAGTTTCTAAACAATTTCTGCAACTACAGGGATACAGTACAGTTATGACCAATGTTCATAAGAGGAGTTGGCAAGCAAGTTATCTAAAATCGCTCCAAAGTTTTAACGTAGCATGCTGATATATTTATGAGGTGTCCAACAGATTGATGTGTTATGTCTGTGTGGAAGAAGAGAGTTGGCATGCCTTACATTTTTGTTTGGTAGTTTGCTTCTTCTTTTCAGCTTACACATTCATCTAGCAGCAATGTGAAAGAGATGGCCAAATGTCTAGATCCCTTAGTCAGTACACAGCCTCTCCAATGTCAAGTCCTCAACTGTGCCTCCTCATGATGATGCATGCAAACTGTGGCCCTCACTGCCCTAGACTAAAGCTTCAGAGATTTGAAGTGGTTTGGCTCCAGGACACACAGTACATAAGGCCAAGAACATATGGACAAATGCTGGCACTCATGAACAAAACTCCCCACAATGGGTGAATCTCTTCACTGTCTTATGCATACCTTAAGAGAGTTGAAGGCTAAGAGAGTAAACACTGTCAAAAAGTTAGGAGTAGAAACTGTAAATGAAGTGATGTCTAAATATGCCATCTTACTGGCAGCCAGGCCGGCACCAATGTAATGCTTTACATTCCTTGGACTTGACTGGGAAGGCTTGAAAGATGAACCGTAACATTTGGGCAGTCCCACATCAATTTTCCCAAGGCTTGCATCAGAAGATACTGAATTTTCGCTGCACAATGTTAATTCAACATGGTAAACAGTGATGAGTAAACATAAATTGGCACAAACGATCCTCCTACAAGATAGATTGGTATATTTGTTGATATTCTCAATGGCAATTTAGAAACCTGGTTTCACATGCTCTGTTTTTCACTCTCTCTCTATGGGTTCCATCTCCCCCGATTATCTACTCCTCCTCCAACACCATCTTAAGTGCATATACCAATCTTTTCCCAGCTACAATAAATTGCCATTGAAGAAATCTGGTTTGTACCTTCTTCATGTTTTCTATGATTTCCCATTTCCTATAATTTCCAAATTCACCCTATACTCTTGCATTCCTGAACAACTAATCAATGGAGTCAACTTCCACTATTTTAAGTAGAACGCAGTTTTGTTTTATTCCTTCATGGGATGCAGACATCACTGGCTAGGCAAACATTTGCTTTCCCATTTCAAATTGCCTTCACGAAGGTGGTGAGCAGCATCCTTGAATCATTGCAGTCCTTTGATGCAGTTACTCCTAGCGTCGTTAGGAAGGTATTTTCAGGATTTGAGTCAGTGACAGTGAAGAAACAGTGCATTATTTTGCAAGTCAGAATGGTGTGGGGTTTGAAGGGGAACATGCAACTGCTGCCTTAGATGATTAAGGTCGTAGGTTTGATAGATTCTGTCTAAAAGCCTTGGTGAGTTGTTTCAATGCAGCTTGCTCATTGGGCATCTATCTGCCACTGTCTTTCAGTGTAGGGAGTGAATCAATGTTCAAGGTGTAGGATATAGTACAATCGAATGACCTACTTGTCCTAGAAAGTGAAACAACGGAATATAAATATCCAGTCCAATCCAGTTTCTGGTCACTGGTAATCCTTTAGAATGTTGATAGTGGAGTATTCAGTGATGGCAATGCCATTGAACATCAAAGGGTAATGATTAGATTCTTTCTGGAGATGTTCTTTGCCTGGCACCTGGTGTGACACACACATGACTTGCCACTTATCAGTCCAAGCCCTGCTGCATATGTACACAGATTGCTTCAGTATCTGAGGAGTTACAAACAGTATAGAAGATTGTGCAACTTTCAGTCAATATACTCAGTTCTAACCTTACGATGGAGAGAAGATTATTGAAGCAGCAGCCGAAGCTAGTTGGGCCTCGAGAGGTTATTCTGAAGAACTCTGCAATTACGCTCTGAACTAAAAACTGAGAATGTGCTTTTAGTCAAGTAACAAAGTCTAAATCTTTAATTTTACAAACTTTATTTTGCCAAATTTAGTCAGTAATTGGTAATCTACAATTTAAATTCTGTAGGTGCTCACCTTCAGCAGGTTATTTTTTCCAAGGTTGCAGTGAAACAGCAGATTAATTAAGATCTATCCGAAACTGGATTCTCATTAAGTGAGTCAGATAGGACTGCATGTTTGGAGCATTTAGAAGTAGCCACCTGATTGCTAGTGACCACTTGATTGCAACTGACAATGAAGTTCCAGAGTTGGGCAGCTGAAGTTGTTTAGTTGCTTTTGCTTGAACAAAGCAGCTGAATGGTCAGTAGGTTTGGGGAATATTTTGAGTTTTTAAAATAAAAGTTTAATGTTCAGATCTCTAATCTTTTCTTTCCTTTTTTCCTCAAAAAAGTAGCTTGTTAGGATGAATGATATTAGTGTAAGAAGTAGTTAACTGCAATACAGTGCAAACAGCAGGGGTACTAACTAGAGAGAGTAGGAACTGCCGATGCTGGAGAATCTGATATAACAAAGTGTAGAGCTGGATGAACACAGCAGGTCAAGCAGCATCAGAGATGCAGGAAAGCTGACGTTTCGAGTCTTCAGAAATTTCTGAAGGAGGGTCCAGACCCAAAACGTCAGCTTTCCTGCTCCTCTGATGCTGCTTGGCCTGCTGTTTTCTTCCAGCTCTGCACCTTGTTATATCAGGGGTACTAACTAGATTAGTTAATTAATAAATTAACCAAAATGTAATAGAGATGGCAGGTTAGATAACATCTCAGTATGACAGAGTGTAGGAGCAGTTAGATCAGGAGTAAACACAGAGTCATAGCATCAGAGTCATACAGTATGGAAACAGACCCTTCGGTCCAACTAGTCCATGCCGAACAGAATATCCCAACGTAAACTAATCCCGCCTGCCTGCTCCTGGCTCATTTCCCTCTAAAGTTTTCCTATTCATATATCCATCCAAATGTCTTTTAAATGTTGTAATTGTACCTGTATCCACCACTTCATCAGGAACTTCATTCCACATGCAAATCACCTTCTGTGTAAAAAAAATTGCCTCGTGTTTTTTTTAAATCTCTCTCCCCTCTCACCTTAAAAATATGCCCCTAGTTTTGAAATTCCCCATCTTGGTGAAAAGACAACTACCATCAAACTATCTATACCTCTCATTATTTTATTAACTTTTATCAGGTCACCTATTAACTTCCTACGCTCCAGTGAAAAATGTCCCAGCCTATCCTTACAACTCAAACGTTCCATACCCAGCAATGTCCTGGTAAATCTCTTCTGAACCCTCACCAGCTTGATAATATCTTTCCTATAACTGGGCGACCCAGAACTGGAGACAGTATTCCAGAAGAGGCAACAATTTACAGCTCAACCAACTTCGGATCGAAGTTGAAAATCTGGAGTCCAAGCAGAAGACATTTCATGAAAGGGGAAGTTTAGTGGACACTCTGCTCTGAGAGACAGTCACATGCCTCAAATTTGGTCAGTGTAATAACGTTGTGGCTTTAAGAGGTGTGTTTTGTCCTGGTTTCTTTTAGACAGAGAGACTGGAGGACTGACGCCGAGCAGTCTATGAGAAGATAAACAACTTATGAAGCTTTAGGTGTTGTTTTAAAAGCTGGAACAATAGAAGTAGCTTGAATGGGTGTGCTCAAACTCATACCCACAGATTTATAGTTTTGATGTTTTCAGCGGCAGTTGCTGTGGGATTAAGACAAACTGGTATAAATTCAATAAAGTCAAGGAGTTAAATGCATGGCTCAAAGACTAGTGTGGGAGGAACAGGTTTAACTTCATGGGGCACTGACACCAGGATTGGGGGGGCACTGACACCAGGATTGGGTGGGAACTGATCAAGTCAGGCGGGTTTCACTTGAATCATGCTGGCAACAGTACCCTGAAGAATCAAATAACTTGGACTACAGAGATGGACTGAAGCTCACTTGTGCTGGAGAAGATATGTTGGCTTACAAAGCAAAAGTACATGGCAGTGTTGCATGGTAACCACAGTGGGTCAGAGAGGAAGGAACAGAGTCTACAAACAGAATAAAAAGCTGAAATGTAGTCAAGAAGTAGAAAGAACAGTTTTTTAAAAAAGCAAAATTAATGCTCTTTACATAAAGGCACATATTTGGGGGAAAAAAATGAATCAAGAGTAGAAATAGAGGCTAGTGGGCACGATCTTATAGCCATTATAGAGACATGGCTACAAGGCGATAAAATCTGGAATCTAACTATTCAGGCATGATGTCTTTCCAGAAGGACAGGAAGGACAAAACAGATTGTGGAATACCCTTGTTAGCGCGAGATGGAATACATATATTAGTAAGAAATAGTCTTGTTCAGAGGCTATGGATTCCAAATGGTTACCCATTTAAGAAACAATAAGGGATGACGAAACTGGGAGTAGTCTATGGGCTCCCTAACAACAGCTGTCCTGCAGGGCATTGAATAAATAATATGATAACGGGCATATAAAGACAGCAACATATTATTCAGGGACGACTTTAACTCTTCAAGTAAATTGGGAAAATCCCATTGGCAGAAGTAGTTATGATGAAGAATTCATAGAACGTATTCGGAATAGTTTCCGAGAACAAGATGCAGATCCAACCGGGGATCAGGCAATTTTGGATCTTTTAAATTATTTCAGACAGAAAGATCGCCAAGGAAGCAGTAAACATAACATGGTAGAATTTAGCATTCATTCCGAGAGACAGAGAAAGTTGGGTCGCAAACAACAATTCTAACTTTAAGGGTGATTACATATCTGCATAGAGAAAGAAGATGACAGA